GACAATGAAATATATACACATCAGGAAAGTTATATAGAAAAGGTGTTGAAACACTTATATATGGACAAATATCATATGTTTCCCACTCCAATGATTGTTAGATTATTAGATGTAGAGAAAGATCTTTTCAGGTCTTGAGAAAAGGATAAAGAATTGCTTGGTCATGAAGTACCATATCTCAGTGTGATTGGAGCACTAATATACTTTGATAATTATACATGTCCTGATTTATCATTTGCGGTCAATCTATTAGCAAGATTAGTTCTTCACCTACACGAAGACATTGGAATGAAGTCAAATATATACTTTGTTATCTTAGAGGTACAATAGACACAAGTTTGTTTTATACCAAAGTATTCAAATTCGAATTAATAGGTTATGCAGATGCATATTACTTGTCATATCCTCATAATGGTAGATCACAAACAGATTATTGTTTACATGTGGTGATACAATTATTTCCTAAAGATCGATGAAACAAACAATAACATCAACTTCATTTAATCACGCAAAACTTTTAGCACTACATGAGGCAAGTCGAGAATGATTTTGGTTGAAATCCTTAATCCAACGCATACAAAATACTTGTGGTTTGTCTTCTGGAAAAACAAATACAATGACCATATATGAAGATAATACTCCATGCATCGCTCAATTGAAAAATGATAACATTAAAGGAGACCAAATAAAACACATCTCTCCAAATTTCTTTTTCACTCATGATCTTCAGAAAAACGGTGATATAAACATCCAAAAAACCCGTTCATGTGATAATCTTGTAAACCTTTTCACAAAATCACTCTCAAGTAGAACTTTTAATCAACTAGCACAAAAGATTGATTTTCATTATCGAAGAAATGATCGTTGAGCTGAGGGGGAGAAATGTATTTATCCTAAAATGATATTGTATTCTTTTTCCTCCACTAGATTTTTTTTCCACTTATTTTTTCTAGTAAGGTTTTAATGAGTCATATCAAACACTAACATCCAAGGGAAAATGTTATGAATAATTGGATGTTTGCCTTCCATTAATCTCATTTATTTTATAACAAATTTTATTTATTACATTGTCTATATAATGTCTTATAAATAAGACCAATCTCATTATAGAAAATGACATCAATAAAATAATATGAATAAATTATTCTGATTTTTCTTTCTTCTCTTTTATCTTCTTTCTCCTTATTCCATAATAAAACTTTTTTAAGAGTTGGAGAGAAATATTTAAGATATGATTTAATCATGAATACATATCTAAGTGTAGTTTGTTATATTAGTTTATATATTGATAAATGTCTCAACTATAAAAAATTTCTACTCAAAGCACATACAAAATAAAATAACTAGGCTTAATTGCAACTTTGGTCCCCCTATTTTGTGTTTTTTTGAGTTTTGATCCCCCCATTTTAAAAACTACGATTTTGGTCCCTTTTTTAGGTTTCAAAATTAATATTAGTCCCCTTGTCATTTTAAGTCATGTTTTTAATGAGGTGGCGCGTTGAATGCTGATGTGACATTTTCATGTCAGTTAAAATGGTCTTTTTAAATTTAATATAATTTTCATGTCATTAACTTAAATATTATTTCATTTTCACAAATTTAATAAAATAAAACTTAAATAAAAAATCCCATTAACGTAAACATTATTTCATTTTCATGTTCATCTTCAACCCATTGTAACCAACGAACAAGGTGAAGCTTGGTGTCCCCCCTTTCATTCACGAATGAACGGTGAAGATTGGTGATCCTCCCTTCATTCACGAACGAACAGTGAAGATTGGTGATCCCCCTTCATTTTCATCTTCTTCCCATTGTAACCCATTTTCGTCTTCCCATTTCTTCAAATCCAGTTTTATATCAAACCACAACTCGCTTCAAATCAAACTGCAGCTCGCTTCCCGTCGTCTCTGAAATGGCAAACCGAAGTTATGTGTCGAGGTATGTTTCGTAACTCACCTCTGAATACAAAAACCCTAAACATACAAATGGCGTTTATGTTCTATCATAACATATGAATTGTTAATACCGACTCCCGGTTTTATCTGTGGTTTAATTCAAAAACTGTCGTTTGTGTTTTGTAGGCCCTCTGATACCGAAGCTGTCAGATTTAGAGTACACCACAGGGGACATTTAATTCAGAATCCAATTCTGTTGTATGTTGATGGGCTTATAAGTGAAATGAATTAGGATTGGGATGTGGACTTGATGTCTTACATGCAAATTGAAGATTTGATCAAGAGTGAGGGGTATCGTAATATAAAGTGTTTATGGTATTGGAATCCTAATTTTTCCTTTTCTCGTGGACTTCGGCCTCTAAACAATGACAATGATGTCTTAAGGTTAATGGAGGATGTTAGAGGATTTAAGGTAGTTGATCTTTATGTTGAACACAAAGTTGAAGAAATAAGTATTGAGGATGTTATTTTTGAGGAGGATAATGGTGAAAAAGGCAATGGTGAAGGAGCAAATGATGAAGAGGTTAATGTTGAGGAGGATAATGGTGAAAAAGGCAATGGTGAAGGAGCAAATGATGAAGAGGTTAATGTTGAGGAGGATAATGGTGAAAAAGGCAATGGTGAAGGATCAAACGATGTTGATGAAGAGGTTAGCATTGATAACGTAGATGACGAGAGTGAAACAGATCCAGATTATAGCATGGACAGTGAGGATGACGAGGAAGAGGATGAAGATTTGGAAGATGAAATTGATGTGATGAATTTAGGTGTTGATGCTAGTATAAATTGGAAGACCGTTTTACCTAATGCAGAAAAACCTTCAAAGTTGGATGATAATTCCGATAATGGTAGTGATTCAGATGTGCTTCAAACTCCACCTGGTAGTGATGCTGAAGGTGATACGACAAAGTTTCCAATCTTTAGGGAACCCACAAAACTTGAAGTAGGGATGATGTTCAAGGATAAACAACAAATCAAAGATGCCATAAAGGAGTATGCTATGGAGAACAAGAAGAATCTTGTATTTAAGAAAAATGACAAGAAGAGAATGGTTGTCAAGTGTGTAGATGGTTGTCCATTTCATATTAGGTTTAGCATGAGGACTACCAATCAATATTGGCAACTCGTTAGCTTGATTGATCGTTATGGCTGTCATAGGACAGCCAAAAATAGACAAGCAAAAACGGATTGGTTGGGTCGCCAATTTGTGTACACCATAAGACACACTCCTGAAATAAAAACCAAATGGCTGATTGCAGAAGTTATTAAGAAGTGGGGGGTGAAGTTGTCAAAGGGTCAAGCTTACAGAGCCAAGAAAAAGGCAATGGAATTGATTCAAGGTGCTGGTCGTGAACAATTCACACATCTTAGAAGCTATGGTGAGGAGTTGTTAAAGTCAAATCCAAACTCCACAGTTAAAATTAAGTGTGCTGATTCAGATGGTGGTCCCGTCTTTGAAAGAATATATGTATGCTTAGAAGCTTGTAAGGCAGCGTTTGCAACGACGTGTAGGCCTCTAATAGGACTAGATGCTTATTTTCTTAAAGGGGACTTTGGAGGTCAGTTAATAGGTGCTTGTTTTCTTCAAGTCGCGTTACGCTGCTGCAACTGCTTTCCATTTGCAACCATCAATCAATCCAACTCAGTGGATTACCGAGCCTGCTCCGCAACCTCATGATGTTTACTGACCTTTATTTTCAGAATCTTTCATGAAAAAATGGATTTCTAAGCTGGTGGTTATAGTTGTGTGTATTCTTTTTACAATCTTATTCCTTATACCATTTGTAATCTGCTTATTCAGTTCTCTTGTTTTACAGATAAGTAACTACAACAGTAATGCACGCACTTTGTAATGATACATAGTGCACTTATTGGATATAATTTCAAAGTATTGCAGCTGATGCAATTCCAGATTTACTAGATTAATGTTCTCCAGTACTCTGCAGATTAATGCTCCATAAACATCATTTGAAGACAATCAAAGTAACTACAACATAACTCTTCATTAACACAGACAATCATAACTCTTCATTTGAAATTAGTTCATTTGGAAACTACATAAACATCAAAGTAACTACAACACTTGACATTACATCATTTGAGTACATGTGTTGCAACTAATGCAAACACAATTAAAAAGACAAACATCAAAGGTAACCCCACAAAATAATACATAAACCTAATTTTCATCTTCAACAAATCTTCATTTTTCTTGATGTCCTTAATCACATCCATGAGCTCCTACTTGTCTTTCAAAGATCGTATCACATCTTTAGCACGACTGCTCATGTCTTCATCAACTCACTGAAAGTAATTACATCATTTTTTCTCATCACCTTAAAATTACCACACCCATAAAATCTTCTTCCGGGATTATCGTATGTCCATGACGTCATCAACGGTGACTCAAGCTCACACCAACATCTATTACCTCTTCTTTTTATACCAGACCCATACTGGTTTGTTGAGGAAAAAGATAAATTCGTTTCGGACATGTCGGTAAATAGGAGGGCTGATATGAGTTTGTTGAGAAAAATGGGTTACAATGGCATGCAAAACTGGTTTGGGGTTTAATTCGTTCGTGAAAATGAAAATGGGAAGATGAAAATGGTTACAATGGGTTGAAGATGAATATGAAATGATATTTAAGTTAATGAAGTTTTTTATTTAAGTTTTATTTTATTAAATTTGTAAAAATGAAATAATATTTAAGTTAATGACATGGAAATGCCACATCAACATTCAACGCGCCACCTCATTAAAAACATGACTTAAAATGACAAGGGGACTAATATTAATCTTAAAACCTAAAAAAGGGACAAAAATCGTGGTTTTTAAAATGAAAGAGATCAAAACTCAAAAAAACACAAAATAGGAGGACCAAAGTTGCAATTAAACCAAATAGCTAACACAATGGTTGAAAGGTATAAATAATAGTAGCAAGCAAAAACCACCCTTATGCACGGTTTCTTTCACTCAACTAGAGTGAATCAACGCTATGCTTCTTCTTCCTCCCAACACAGAAACATCACCAACACAACCACAATGACAACACAAACAACAACCTCGTCATCTTCACAAACCACCAACACCATCATAGATCACCTCCCCCTCCGTCTCCTCAGATCCGAAATTGTCACATCCGCTCCTACTTTCTCCCGTTCCACAATCGATTTCCTCCATCACTTTGCAGGATATTCATGGATCGCTTATGGAGCTTCTTCTATTCTCACCATTACCCATTTCCCTTCTCCTCTTTCCACTCATCAAACGCGCATCGGTCCCGTTTTTCGTCAATTCTTTGAACTCTCATCCGATCAGTCCTCCCATGTTTCTGCTGTCTCTTGGTCCCCGCAATTACCTTCCTCCGGTGAACTTGCCGCTGCCGCCGGAAATTGCATCTGGGTTTTTCATCACGACTCTGCTGCGTCCAAAGGTAACTCAAAGTTTCATTTTCCCCCTGTTTTATTGCTTAAATAATTAATATCATGAAGAAAAACTATAATTTAATAGGTTTTGAGAATTTAGGGGTAAGTACTTGTGGGTTTAGTTCAATTATTCAATGCAACTAAGCACATACACAGACACAACACTGAGAGGTAGACATTGGTAATGATTTAAGAAAATGGATGATTTGATTCTATACCACTAGGAGAGTGATGTTGGGTTTGAGTAATTTATGTTTTATCAGAGAAAAATCACTTTTATTTTTTATAAATTTAGTTTTACGAGTTTGTGGAGAGACAGTTATGATCATTTGATGTGAAATCAGTTGTAAGACTTTGTTTGGATATTGTAAAATGTACGAAGCAGAATGGAATGGAGAGGAACGGAGCATGGAGCATAATGGAATAAAAATGTCATTCCATTGTTTGGGTATTTCATGACAGAATAAAACAATTTTGTCATTCCGTCCAAATTGGAGGGTACAAAAAATGATGGAATGGGATGGAATCCGGATCCGCTTCATTCCATTCTTTTTTAATTAATCCAAACAATGGAACATAAATTTATAACATTCTATTCCATCTCATTCCATTCCATTACATCAATCCAAACACACTCTATGCAGGTACTATAGTAGGTAGCCAAGAACTTTGTGTAGTGGATAATTCTAGTTTCTCAAGAGTTTTCATGAGCTTTGTGATGTGGGTACATCTAATTTCTCAAGAGTTTTCACTCGAGAGTGTCCAGGGCACATCCTCACCTATTAGTTCTCCCAAATCAGATAAAGTTTAAATAAATGAATGATTCAGATTCCACAATAGAAAATTTACGCTGTAGAGGATTCGCTCCCCATGAGACTTGGTAGCTAATCACTACTTTGAGTATTTGTGAACTCACAGCTTTCTAACTAATATGTTTCTATCCATTCTGAAATTTAATTGAAGTTGGGTTGGAGAAAATTCAAAAAACATGGATATTTTCACAGTCTGACTAAGTGAGGTTTGCACTTGTTTTTATTTTTCCATGGGGGACATGTTAATCTTATCCATTGTTCTTGCACTTTTTCTTTCTTGTTGCTAATATGTTTAGTCATTTCTGGAAAAGAAAATTTTACAATAGAAAAATGAGCCACTTATTTGATTAGCTTTATATATTAAAAACACAATCTTGTCACTCATATTCAGGTTCTTTTTGTTGGAGCCAGAATGCAGTGCTTGTACAAAGTACAAAAGTGGAGACCATCAGATGGACAGGATCAGGAGATGGAATTATTTCTGGTGGAATGGAGGTAGTTTTCTGGAAAAAGAGTAATAGATGTTGGGAAATCGCGTGGAAGTTTAAAGCAGATCATCCCCAAACTCTCGTAAGTGCAACATGGTCTATTGACGGTCTTTCAGCAACTGCACCGTATTCTAGTAAAGAACAGATTGAAGGATCCTTAATCAGTCAGGAAAGCAAATGTGTATTCGTATGCCAGAGCAATGGACTATCTGAATATTCAAAAGCCAAACTTCAGCATCCTCTACCTATTGCAAGTATTCAATGGAGACCATCGAGGGGAAGACTATCAGACAAATACAGTAGGTATTCAGAAAGGAATGTGTTACTGACATGCTGCTTAGATGGAACTGCAAGGTTATGGAGTGAGATTGATAATGGAAAGGCCAAGAGGGCTGGGAAGAACACAGGGTGCTCTTTTTGTGTTGTTGCTGTTATTGAGATTAATCAGTGTTTAAATGGAACTCTTGATTCAGATATATTTGTGACATGGGGGACGGAAATCGAGGGGCTATTTAGAAGAGGTGAAGGAGACAAACAAAATTTCTCCAAAGAAGGAATTGAGCACGACATTAGAAAATGTGACTGGCTAGTTGGATTTGGTCCTGGAATGTTGCTTAGCTTTTGGGCTGTCCACTGTCTTGACGATGTTTCCCCATTGAGATTCCCCCGAGTTACATTATGGAGGAAACATGAACTCCAGAGTCACGACATAGGAAACATTTGTAAATTTGGCTCATCTGATTTTAAAAACGCATTACTTCTGCATAAAGTCATTATATCAAGAAACTCTTTGTCTGGTCCACCAAGCATATGCTCTCCACTACAGCTTTTACCTTGTAATTCCTTAGTTTGGTCATTTTACCATATTCAAGAAAAACGCAATGCTGTTGAGAACACCCCTGACAATGGCAACACAGATGAAATCTCCTCTCATTTGACTGGCGGGTCTTTAAGCTTAGATGGACACAGTGGGAAAATATTAAAGGTTTCAATTCATCCTTATATTTGCAAAGCTCAAGTTGCTGCTTCTCTTGATTCTAACGGACTGCTTCTTTTCTGGTCACTTTCTAATATTTCAAACGGCATTTTGGGATGTCCAACATTGGTTCCTACTTGGGAACTCTGCGGAAAACTTGCAACTCAACACTCATGCTCCATGTATACAAGCTTGACATGGGCACCTTCAATACTTGATGAGCAACTTGTTTTTTTCATGGGACATACCAGAGGGGTTGATTGCTTCATAGTCAATATTAGTCGAACTGAAGAAGATAACTTAGAATGTCACTACTTATGCACTATTCCCTTCACTGGTCATGGTCCTTATGAGGATGGCCCGCACAATATATTTGCCATTCCTCTGAACTCTACTTCTAATAAAACAATTTTTAACAATAAACTTATGCTACTGGCAATTTGGACAGGGAGATTTCAGGCCCTATCATGGGAAGTTAACGTGCAATCTTTTGACACGTCAACAAGTTGTGAATGCAATTTTGCTGCTGAAAGCCTTGATGATAACCATGTTTGGGCATTTGAAAGTACATTTGCTAGTAAAAAATATTGCATTGCTGTCATTCCATGTTCATCTGAGTTTCCAAGTTCCGATGATCTGGTTACTAGTTTTGCAGTGGGAGATCCAGGCACCCTGAGTCATAGACATCAAGAGTTTGGCTTTGCAAATGGTCTTTGTAGTAGCTGTTCTACATATATCTTGGCCACAGGCTGCTATGATGGTAGCTTGAAACTTTGGAAAAGTAACCGTGGCAATCTGTCGACCTTGAACTTGCCATGGGAACTTGTGGGTATGTTTATAGCACATAACAGTCCTGTCAAGGGTATATGTTTCACTGATTGTGGTCAGAAAGTTGCAACGTTCTGTAACAGAAATGATTCGAATGCTGTCAATACCATCCATATATGGGATGCTATAAACCTGATCATTACAGGGACTTTTATTTTAGAAGATACACTAACGCTTGAAAGCGATGTTATTACTCTCAAGTGGTTAACTTTAGGGACTGGGGAGTTATTGCTTGGAGTTTGTTTGCAAAATGAGTTGCAAGTATATGCTCGGAAGCGTTATGACGGTCTGACTTGGTCTAACTCTGTAAATTTCCCAAAATTGAATATATGGTCTCACATCGCATTTGCTCGTACTTCCCTTCCAATAAATGATTTCTTATGGGGGCCTAGAGCCTCTGCAGTGGTAATTCACGGAAATTACTTCAGTATATTTAGTCATTGGTTGTTCCATGTGGATAAAAAGCAAAAGAGTAATTTTCGTTCTCGTGATTTAGATCCAAGAGCCTATAACAGCAAGAATGAAGCATATGAAGACATAAGTTCTGCAGTTTTTACTGATTGTGACAATGGTGCTTTCGGAGAGCTTTCAATTGGAGACAATAACCTATTCAGTGGCGTGTTTCTGGCCAAGGAACAATTAAAATATGAACTCCTTAACAAGGTTGGTTTGTGGAGCATCTTAGAAGTAGCAGAGTTGATTAGTGGATCGTTGCCTACTTATCACCCTGATGTACTTCTTACCAATATAAGTTCAGGTATTGATTGAGTAAATTGTTTCTTCCCAGATGATTGATTACTTGGCTAATTTATTCAAGCATGTGGTGGTAATTATATCATCTTTTTCATGTTGCATTTTCTAAAAATGGTTTTCAGGCAACTGGGAACGTGCTTACGTAGCTGTCAAGCATTTTGTTGAACACCTGATTTCTAATTATGATCCTAAAACGAGACAGATTACCAAAAGGAATGGTCTTCCGAGTATCCTATTGTCAGATTATCTGGAAGGCTGTATGTCAAAAAGTTCTCAAGATAAGGGATTTAATTGGAGTGGGGATGTTACCTCATTCGCTTCATTTTCACAGGCTCAAAGTAGCTCGATCCATTTTCCATATCATTCGGATTCCAATGCTGAAAATAAAAGCAGTTCCACCTCAACTAGATCCGAGCTTAATGGCTTTATTGAATCTCTAAAGAATTTTCCCGATTTACCTCATTTGATCAACATAGAAAGGACAGAGATTCTCTCAATCATTGATCTCCTCGCCGAAGTTTGTAATCCAGACACGTCTTCTGCATATCAGAGTCTTGATGAACCTGGACGAAGGTATTATTGATCCTATTCAATAATTTCTTGGTTTCCTGTTAAATCTTCCTGTTTGATGATTTTTTTCCTCTCACAGATTTATTTTACCACCAACAATTGGATATTTGTAAATTTACTTTATATGTTGTCAGTACTTCCAAAAAATTATCTTATCAATACGATAAAAAATAAACTAGGCTTATGGAGTCATCTAATTTATAGACAATGAAGATAGTGACGTGTTCTCTCAATCTTCCATTATAGGTTTTGGGTTGCACTAAGGTTTCAGCAATTAGTTTTTCTGCGAAAGTTTGCCAGAGCTGCAACTGTCGAAGAGATAAGGATTAACTCAAGGATGTTCGTATGGGCCTACCACTCTGATTGTGTGGAAAATTTATTTGGTTCTGTCATACCCAATGAACCATCGTGGCAAGAAATGCGTGCTTTGGGTATGGGCTTTTGGTATTCCAGCATACCTCAATTGCGTGCTAGGGTAATGCTTGGTCCTTTTGCATTCTTCTCCGTGTTCTATATACAAGCAGAAACAAAATCTTGAAATTATATAGCCTTCAGTTTTGCTAATTGCATGATGTTACAAGAAAATTAGAGATTTCTCCTTAGCTTAAAAAATTTGGCATGTGGAAGAACATTTTTGTTTCACAAATTGCTGATATAGCCTTTTGCTTATGTGATTATCATTTGTGGATTATTGTCGTCATATGTCAGAATATATTGTTGTTTATTACTCTTTTCCAATGCAGACAGCTTAAGTACTTTCATTATTCCTCTTAACTCTAGATGGAGAAATTAGCAAGAGCACAATATTTGAAGAACAAAAATCCTAAGGATTGTGCATTGCTGTATATTGCATTGAACAGAATTCAAGTTTTAGCTGGCCTTTTTAAAATCAGTAGGGATGAGAAGGACAAGCCTTTAGTGGGTTTTCTCTTGCGCAATTTTCAGGTAAATTGTCTGACAGCACATCTGCGAGTACTGTTTTTTTTTGGGATGACTCCATTAAGCCAACAAAGAACTTATAATTAGACCAATGTTTTTAAAAGCCGGACCAAACTGGTCGGCTCAACCTGTTGGACTGGGAGTTGGCTAACTTGTCAGTTGGTTTGATCCCTGTTGTAGCACAGTTTGGTTAAAATAGGTTCTCAACTGGTTAAGCTGTTTTTGATTTGTTTTTAAAATATGCAGTATGCAAATGTCAAACTTCCTTTTATACATGCATTTGTTTATCACATTTATTGAGTTAGGTTCTTAAATTAGTTATAATTAGTAGGCTTGGTTGTTGTTGTTGATTGCAGGATGAGAAAAATAAAGCTGCTGCTTTGAAAAATGCTTATGTCTTATTGGGAAAGCATCAGTTGGAATTGGCGGTTGCCTTCTTTTTGCTTGGAGGCGATCATTCTTCTGCTGTAAATGTTTGTGCTAAGACCCTTGGGGACGAACAACTTGCCCTAGTCATTTGTCGCCTTGTTGAGGGCCATGGTGGACCATTAGAGCATCACCTAATTACAAAGTATATATTTCCATCTGCAACCGAAAGAGGAGACTACTGGCTGGCTAGCCTTCTGGAGGTCCTCAAAATACTTTCATTCAATTTATCGACGAAAACGTTGTTATATTCACTGCTTGTAATAGCTTTTTTTGTACTTGATCCTAACTGTAACTAGCTCTCATGATTTGCAGTGGGAAATGGGCAAATACTATCAATCTTTTCATAGAATGCTACAGTTTTCCGTAGAGACCGGGGATTCAAACTCCACCATTATGTCAAATTCTGGTTCTTTTCTGGACCCTACTGTTGGTTTTTATTGTCAAATGCTTGCAACAAAGAATAGCACACGGAATGCTGTAGGAGAGCAAAATTCAACCATCCTTTTAAGGTGGGCAACTTTGATGACAGTTACTGCCCTAAAAAGATGCGGTATACCTGTAAGTTTCTTTTACATATTACACTATAATTTGATTTTTTTATTGTACTTATAAAAATGAGTAAGCTTAATAGACAAGCATATCTTCAAACTTCAACTATTTGTTGAATGTGTTTTGAGCTGTGTTTATCTGGGCTTGTTGACATGGAACCTGTGTACTTTTTCACTCTATTCTTCATATGCGAGAAATACGTGTTGTACCTTCGATAGCTCTACATTTAGATGTGGTTATTGTTGTTGTTTTTGAAAGTGAAAAAGTTAGTGTGTTTACCACCTTGTTTATAGAATGGTCCATTTTTAAAAAGATTATCGTCTTCCTTTTTGAGGTATATTTCTTAGGCCTTTTTCATGTAATTGTGTCCACCTGTTGCTCCTAGGAAGATTCTGCGATGCACTTGATTGACGTGCCCTCAAAGTTCATAGTTGGAGATGCTTAGTAAAACTCTCGGAGAATTGTTGAACAACTCTATAACAAGTTTAATTTTCTTGTTGTAGCTCTAGATAAATATTCATAACCGCCTTTTCTATGTCTGATGTTTATGTGCATGCCGAGATATTACACACATGTCAGTACAATGCCAATATATATGACGTTATTATATGTATGTGTATATACCTATGTTTCTGGTTAGTAATCATTTGTAATGTTCTCTTGCTTTAAGCTTGAGGCATTGGAGTATTTCTCATCTTCTCCGAGCATGCCTGGGACTGCTGATCAAGCAAATGAATTGGGCAATGTTCTGTCCAGTACATTAAAGCCTTTGCCAGGAAAATCCTCTAACTGGCTATCTGCTGATGTATCTGTGCATCTGGAGTTTCATGTTAAATTGAATTTGGCACTTTGCTACTTATCAAAACTGGTAAGAGAGCATCCAAGTTGGCCTGACACTTTTATAGAATCCGATGGAGAAGGCTCTTACTCTGAAGAGTACATGATTCAGTACGAGAAATTGAATGATAGTTTTAAACTAAAGTTATATGCTGGGTTTGATCTTTTGGAACAAAAGTTTTTGCTGAATCCGTGTTATCTAATCAGCATGGTATGCTTTCCTATTCCATTTTAAATTTTGTTTAACCTCTTATGTGTCTGTGTTACCATTGTCAGCAATATATTTACAGAGGTCACTCTCTTTCCAATTCCTCTTTTATCTGCAGATCTTACTCTTACTTTGCCATCATGGGCTATGGTACATTGGGTATGATGTGACAGACGGAAGCACTCAAGGAGAACTGTCTCAAAAGAAGAGTGATAGATTTGATGTTTCCATTTTATCTCATTCTCAATTCAAACCCCTCTTTAAAACTGCAGAAGAAATCTCCTTTTTGTATTCAAGATTTTTTTCTGCTTGCGGTATGGAATATTCTCAACAAAATTCAACTCTTAAGAAAGCTTCACAGTGTCAGTTTGAAGGTCTTCTGATTTCGTTGTCGTATTTAAGAGCTGTTTTGAGGAGTCAGTTGAGGTCTATTAGCAAAGATCATGTCAAAAAGCATCTTGGAATCCTTGATTTAATTGAATATTATTTATATTTTTCATTAGCTTGGCTTCGTAGAAAACCAGAAGCCCTTCTATTCATGGTGCAACCTTTCTTGATTGCACATGATGGCTGTAATTCTTATGAGGTTGATATGGTGAATCTGAAGAACCTTATCCCAAAAGTCGCGCACTTGTTGGCTCAGAATTCTTTCATAACTAATACAGAAAACGTTCAAGTATCCAAATCTACAGAGAATAAACTAGAGGCAGATACAAAGAGTTTGGTTCCGGATGATGAAAGATGGAAGATTTTAGGGACCTGCTTGTGGCAGCATATGTCTAGATTCATGATATCTAATTTGAATTTAGTTCTTTCTAAACTTGAAGATGAAAGTTTATCTAGTTCTTTTCAGAGTTATAGAGAATCTAATACTCCTGGAAATGTGGATTCTGATAGCATCAGTTTGCCAGAGCAGATTCTATTGGTCACATTTAGCTTATGTGATTTACTGACGACAACAGTTACTCATATTTCTTCTTATCATGTTAAACAACTTGCGGAATTTTTGTGGCAAAAACTGCAGAATGATTCAAATGTTATGACTCTTGAATGGTTAAGACAAACAAGTCAATCAGAACCGAATCATAATGAAAAGCTGGATGTTTCGGAATTGCTTAACGGGAAAGATAACCATCTAGCTCATCAGTTATTATGGGATCACTGTGCTGATCCCAAATTGATACGCGACTGCTTTGCACAGGAGAAACTCAATTGGTCGAAGGATCTGGACCATAAGCCTAGCAAAGAATGGAACGACTTGTATACAATTATGACAGGATTGCATAAACCTGATGATTCACATAATGATGAAAGCAAAGTTGGCAAATTATCTGCTAATCATGAAGTAGAATCTCCTGTTAAAAGAATGTTACCAAGCAGCCATCCTTCTGCTAGTTACAACCAGAAGGAAACAACTTTTGCAAATATTGAAGACTTTCAGAATCCCAGAGAAATTTACAAGAGAAACGGAGAACTTTTGGAGGTGGTTATTATCCCTTCTATCTAATCATTTTCATATGGCGTCATATATTCAAATATAACAATAATATTAATGCTATGTTTGATCAGGCACTGTGTATAAACTCTACCAATCAACAGGAAGCTGCAGTTGCTAGCAATCGTAAGGTTGTCCTCTTAATTTCCTGCCATTCTGACATTCTAATGCTTTGAATGATTTTTTGTTTAAACACCATTTACATGTCAGTTTTTTATGCAGAAAAGATTGTATAGTAATTTGAATAAGGACCAACATGTTTGGGATTGTAATGGTTCTATGTATCATTATAATATGAAATTATAGTTTTATAACTATAAACATAATCATTTTACGGTTATACTTATTCCTCCTCCTAGATCTTTGTGTTAAATTTCAATTCAATCAAACTCACTAAAATCTTATCATTCCATCATTTTAATATCCAGCTAAGTGTGTAAAAGCTTATGTTTCTTCTTATCCAATTCAGGGTATAGTATTCTTTCACTTGGAAGATGAGACACCTTTTAGTGGCGAAGCAGACCTTTTGTGGACCAAGGCCGATTGGCCACAAAACGGATGGGCAGGTTCAGAATCCACCCCTGCTCCTACTTGTGTTTCTCCCGGTGTTGGCCTTGGAAGAAGGAAAGGGGCACACGTTGGTCTTGGTGGAGCAACTGTCGGTATGGATTCTTCAGCTTGGCCCAGCAGAGACTTGACAGGCGGTGGATCATTAGGAATGCTAGGTTATGCTAGTATTGGTGCCTCTGGATTGGGTTGGGAAACTCAACAAGACTTTGAAGATTTTGTTGATCCACCTGCCACTTTAGAGAATACAAGTACCCGGGCGTTTTCTAGTCATCCAATGAGGCCTTTCTTCTTGGTTGGTTCAAGCAATACACACATTTACTTGTGGGAGGTTAGAAAATCTTTCTGTACATTCATGTTGATAACTGTGAATGTAGATATAGACACAATTGTAGAGATTACTAATATCTGAATTACTATAGTGAGTTGATTAATTGCATTAATTGTTGATATTTCAAGCTTATGGCTAATGGGGAGCCTTATATTGTACAGTTCAATAAGGACAAAGCTACTGCTACATACGGGGTGCTGCCTGCTGCTAATGTCCCTCCACCATATGCTCTTGCGTCAATTTCAGCTTTACAATTTGACCACTTTGGGCATCGTTTTGCCAGTGCTGCATTAGATGGAACCGTCTGCACATGGCAGCTAGAGGTAGGAGGAAGGAGCAACGTTCGTCCAACAGAATCATCCCTCTGCTTTAATGGCCAAGCATCGTATGTATACTTTGTTTTCTAAAACTGAGTTATGATTTTAGTCACTCTTCATTTTAAGTTGTGTTGGGTGTTAACATTTGATTCAAAATATAAGCATCATGAAAATTACAATTAGCTTTTGAAACATTATTTTTCACTCTGACTTGCTCGGTGTGAACATTTGTATTAAATATTTAAAATGTTATTTTTCTAGTTGATTATATTAACCATTTGAATCATGTTTAGGATGGATTTCTACGAGTGTATTTATCTTGTTTTGTTGATATCTTTTAAGTATCATTTTTTATTCACTAAAGTTGTTATTTGTTTCAATTTACTCGTGTAATTGAAAATCTATTTTATGTTTGATTTCAGCGATGTCACGTACATTTCCTCTAGTGGATCAATAATAGCCGTGGCTGGATATAGCACTACTGCTGTCAATGTGGTTATATGGGATACTTTAGCTCCACCTTCAACATCTCGAGCTTCCATTTTATGTCATGAAGGTTTATTTCTAAATAGAGCAGAATTAGTTAAAATTTGTTTATATTTTGGAGCGCAAAACAAAACTCTTTTTTGCTTATATTTGAGACCGGAGGGAGGAGTAAGATTTATCGATTGTTTTAGTTTAAAAGAAGGATTTGTGTTCTATTTTATTTAGAAAAATTGGCTCGCCTTTTTTATGTACTAACCTTTGCCTGTCTTGTGAAGGTGGCGCGCGCTCCCTTTCTGTATTTGACAACCAACTAGGAAGTGGTTCGGTTTCTCCGCTTATCGTTACTGGCGGTAAAGGCGGTGATGTTGGAGTTCACGACTTCCGCTATATAGCTACCGGAAAGGCTAAAAGAACTAAGCGTTCTGATAGCATTGGGCGAAGCTCTCTCCCATCTTTGAATTATGAGAAAGACCATAATGTAGATGGGATGCTTTGGTATATTCCAAAGGCACACTCAGGTAAAGAAAGTTCATCTGCATTTGTAGTTATGGTTTATTTCTTATCTAATAATCTGCATAATTTTTTCGATCTTAGGGAGTGTCACAAAAATAGCTACCATCCCAAATACAAGCTTGTTTTTGAGTGGAAGCTCAGATGGAGATGTCAAGCTCTGGGATGCTCAAAGCACAAGGTTAATACATCACTGGCCTAAGATACATGAAAAACACACTTTTCTCCAGTCAGGCTCTCGTGGGTTCGGCGGCGTTGTTCGGGTAAATGTTTCTGACATTTTCATGTCAAAATCTGTTTTTTAATGAGTTAACACGAAATTAGCTTATTTCAACAAACTAATATTGTTAGCTTAAACTGCGGCAGGCTGCTGTTACAGACATTCAAGTTGTTCCGCATGGTTTTCTAACATGCGGTGGTGATGGAAATGTAAAGCTTGTACAGTTGAAAAATCACCTGCGTGGCTTTGGAGATGAGTAATCATACTCTCGAGATGCTTTAATATTGTTCTTAATCTCTACTGCCCGAAATGCCTCATTGCAAGTGGTCATCGAAGAGAGATGCAATTTGCCGAAGCCATTCTTCGATCTTTTTTACAAGAGGCAAAACACAAGTTGATGTGGGACGGAAGATAGTCCTTAACTTGGGTAAGCATTTCATCCCGGAGATTAACATGTGTTGGTTATGAACCTCATTTAGGTCTAGTCATTCATTCTTTCTGTGTATAGTATAAGTTCAATCATTGGCCAGACTTATATTCTATGTTATGAATACCTCAAGCCTGGCAAAAATTTTGACAAGAATTAGTCTTGTAATATTTTATGTATATTGCGTCAATGTTTGAAGTTGTTCAGACACTCATTTATGAATTTATAGAAGTATTATACAGAGTTATTATTTGGTTATGTTTTGTTCAGCTCCATTTTAGTGAAAACTGCAGATCTTGGAATTGATTTTATATATAGTACAGTGGTTCTCGCTGATTTTCGTGACTGTATTTCAATACGGTATAAAAATACACCTTTTATAACTATTGATGTGAAATGTATATATAGAGAGAAAAAGCTTAAAAAATGACATGTATAGGGAGAGAAAAAACTAATAAAATGAAATCATATGCATACCATATCTAAATACGGTGTCCTACATCTAAAAGTGTGTAAAGTTAACATTTCCCATTTTCAATTAACATGTTCATATAGTTACTTTAGAAGCATTTGGGTTTACGGAAGCCTATAGGTTTACAAAGAAATACAAAGTTGATTAGATACTTTCTTATTGCACCATAGAAGTTTTGAATGCACCATGAGAATTTTTATTTATGTTTTTTGATTTTGGAGATAAATCTTTGGACACACTTATTTTTGAATAAACGTTAGCATATTTTGAAGATGTATCTCTGAAATCATTTTAAACATTCAAAATGTCACTTATGATGCATAGGTATGGGTACGGTACTTGGTGCAGGTATTAGTACTGGTACGAGATACAACATTTTTAAGAAAATCAAGGTACATGTATGCTAATAAGAAATGAAAATTTTCTATAAAATATGAGTGCATAACTAAATTGTTAGATTCATAACAAAACGCTACTATAAAAAATTGAAAAATACCAAAAATAATGTCAAGATACAGTAACAAAATAATTAAAACACATAAATATATTAAAACTTGAGAAAACCACAAATTTCATTCAAAACAGAATAATAAAATACCACGAGTACTCGGTACTAATACTTCACCATTTTAGAAGTATCCATGCTTCAGAGCATGTCACTCAGACACCAATTTACATTTGAATTGTTCCGGAGATGTATATTCGGTAATTGTCCGGAGATACATTTCCGAAGTGTATTAGAATAGGTTGCTTTTTTTTGCTATAAGTTGTGTATTTGTTTTTAGATGAACTATGAAGCACGATCTCGAATAAAAAAATAGGCGTACAAAATATAAGAGACTAATACTGGATGAAGAATAACAATATATGTAGAAAATGTCGTACAAATGCTCTACAATCATCTCGACTGCCTCGTTTTTGGTCATCATATCATGATCGAAGAATCTCCTCTTGATCGGAAGATGTAACAAACACGAGACGTCGTCCACTGTGATAAACATCTCACCATGCAGAAGATGAAACAAAGAGGTCTCAGAATGTCATTTCTCCACAAATGCATTAAGCGTTCCGTGGTTGACCAGAGTGTAACCGGTCATGCATAGGTCCTTCAGGCCAGATAATAACATAACAGAATGAAACTAATCCTCCTCCGGTTGAGGCAAGCCAACAATCTTTCTCCCATGGTTAAGAAACTTCTGGGGATCATGCACTTGAAATCTGTTAGAAATAATCAATGTCAGAAATAATTAACGTTAGCAATTAAAATTAACGTAAAAAATAAATAAAAAATTCAACTAAAGCTACCTCTCCATCCCAGATATGTCTGACAGTGTGGTCTGGATAAAGAGGAAGTAAGAACAAATCAGATGGATCTCTTTCAAAACCCTCTGGCTCGACACCCACAACAGCCTCACCCTCTGGAGGTGAATTCTGTCACCTGCAGAAGGATGGGGGAAGTGACGCGTAAGATGGTGAATCTTGTCTCCTGCGGGAAGAAGAAGAAGGTGTAGTGGCCTGAGGTGAAGTACGATCCCCAGAAGTCGATGCCTCTACCTGAACAGAGGTACATACTGCCTCCAGAACCTGCTGACTCTGTTTCCTCCGAACGGATGCATGCTGGGCTACCATATCATGTCTCAATCTGTCAACTTTGTCAGCCATTATTCTTGTAAGGTAAAGTAAGACATATCATTAGTGCACATAAACAAAACACACAAACAAGAAATTTTTTTAAAAATGATTGCAAGAAATTTTAAAAAAAATGACTGCACATAAACAAAACACACGTGAAATTATGGATAAGAAGCTCGTGCTCATCATCCTGGGTCAACCACTCTGCACTCCCCGGATAGTGGATGGACTTGCCCGTTATGAAGGGTCAAACGTCTCTACGAGGGGCGTGAGTCCAGTTGGTGACGTATCCTCGGGTGAGGGACACGTGGGGAACATGTTCTCCACTATCCCTAATGAGATAAGCCAACACTCTGGGCTGTCCTTGACGTAGAACTAAGTTGGGCTGTTCTCGAGCTGGGTTAGCCACATACCCAGTCTAGAATAAGAGCCCTCTAAGTCTTTCCCCCCAAGCATGAGGTCAATGACTTATAGTCAGTTTATATGTCGAGTATGAGTAAAGGACCCTGTGCGAGGAGAGCCTTCATTTGGGATCACGATTGTGAGCTTGCGCTGCCGTGGATGTTGTTCGAGAGTTCGTGCTCACAGGGGCGATGCTTTGCTCGTAACTCGTTGAATTTCTCTTTTTGAAGAAGATGTGTCGCGCATGGACTATGTTCGAGAGCTTAACCTGCACTCGCGTTAAGTATTTGGCTCTACCCGTGAGTTGTCAAGCTTCTCGTAGATTTGCTTCAAAATTTTTACCGAGGCCATGCTCGCGAATGAATGTGAAAGTTCATCGTCTGTGTTCGACAAAGGGTGCTCGACGTATTGGAGTCTGGAAGGTTGATGGGACTTGAAGAGACAAACGCTTCGTCTCCTCGAACCACGCGTCAGAGCCATTAAATGAAAAATGATGGCATATGAGTAGGGGTACTTATGAGGTAGACAACGACACATTTACCTATTCCATGGAGTTGTCTTAAAAATAGGAAAAAGTTGATGGACATTTGCACATTTTGCTTCATTCTTCCTTCTACTTTCCTTCGAGCTTCAGAGCATTGTCTCCGCTTTCTGCCGTCATTGCCACCACCGTCACCAACCTTCATTTAATCTTCAAATCAAGTAAGTTTACTCCTTCTACTAGCTTGCATGCTGATTTTAGAATAAAGATTAGCTCTAGAACATAGATTTTCCTTTTCTTTATGTTGGCTTCTGGCGGGTGTTGGTGTTTGGTGATGGTTCAACTGCATCCAAACTCGATCGCATTTATTCTGGCCTTCGAGATAGTGTGCCAGTATCTTGAGATCGACACAACCATTCCTCTATTCTTTCGTTGTTTCCACCTTCAATGACAGACTTCACATGGGAAGCACAAATGGGTACCCTCAAGCAGCCGAAGAAGTTGTTCAAAACATTCACAGACTTTGTTTGTACCTTTAAGGATAGGTATTATACGGTCAAGCCTGTGTCTCGAGTAGCCATAGACTATGTGTTCGAGCTTGTGGTTATAATCGAGGAAGATGGAAGTATGCGTCTCGACAAGGATGGGGATGAGGTAACGAGGTTGGTCTTGGAGTTCGCCCTTCAATAGAGTAACACCCACTTTTAAGAGAGCACAAATTATTACATCACTAAGCCTAACGAGTTGGACCCCGAGAACCAACTTGACTTTGACAAACTTGTGAAGTTAGTTGATAGCTTCACTCCTGCTCGGTGGGAGACTAAGAACGGGGAGGATTTCCTCGACGAGCATGGCCAACCCATTTATGAGGCTCGATACATTAACACTAAGGAGCTCCTCAAGTGTAATACCGTCGAGGATGCTAGATCGCTTTTAGGTAGGTGTTTTCCCTTTAATTTGTTTGTGTGCTTATTATTTCTTGGTATATTAATCTATGCTCGTCATTTTTCGCAGATAAAATGGCAAACCTTCAGGATCGTGTGATCAAGATGGCGATGGCCAAAGGGAATACTTCAAAGGGTGGAAAGAGAAGCTCCAAGAATAGGATTGTTCAAATCCTAAACCATTCCAAGGTTGACTCCAGACTCGGTTCTTCTTCTTCCCCCCTAGCAGGACACCTTGACCAAGAAACAACAGGGTGCAAATGACATCGTAGATATAGATCTTATGGAGGAGATTTTCGGGGACAAGTTCATGCTGTCCCCTTGCTATTCAAATAGGGGGTTCTTTGAGGGGGACCCTTCTCTTGTCGTGCCTCAGGCAAATTCTTCATCCATCCTGAGCCTCGAAGCAGCAGGCAGAAGAAAAGCATTGGCTTAGGATTCATCTGCTTTGATGAGGGTTCTAGAGGTGGCCCTGGTCCTCAATGACGAGGAAACCTACTCTGCTGACGAGCTGGAGAAGTAGCGGGTAGCGAATGCGTAGCTCGAAGCGGAGGCGATCAGGCTGGATACCCCTTTTGATGAATATAAAGAGAAGTATCAGATCCAGACCTAGATTGCCACCAAGCTGCGCAAAAAGAAAGAGGAATTGTCCAAGTTAAATGCAGACATGTCCGCCTTAGGACTCGAGCATGCTGCCGAGAAAAAGAGCTTCGAGGACAAGATTTCTGCTTTAGAAGCTTTCGCGGCCCCCACTGAGGACGAGGATGATGACCTGAAGGCCTTGCAGACCCGTGCTGAAGTGGTTTCTTGGATCAGCAGTCTTGAGTAGGATTGCGTGGATGTTGTCGAGATGAGCTTCGAGAATGTTGTGGCTTAACTCCGAATCGCGAACTCTGGGGTCA